CCCCAAAACCCCAAAACCCCAAAACCCCAAAACCCCATCAGCTGAATTTTATATTGAAATTTTAGATCGTACTGGGAATTTTAGTTATTACTTGGAATCAGGTGGATTTTTGTGCATGATTTGTGAGAGGATATGGGGGTTTGAAGGTTTTTGTAGTTTGTGGCTGGATTTTGGGAGGGTGTATCTGGTGGTTTTGTGGAAGTTTGGGGAATTTTTCGATTTTGTGGTGCCTGTAAAGGGGTTTAGAGGTGTTTTAAGGGTTTAGAAGTTAATTTTGGCCATACTTGTTGGTTTGAGAGGAAGATTTCTCGAGAGTTTTTGCTCTTTTAAGTTTCTTGTGCTTGACTCTAAAATAGTGAATTAATTGAAATCTAGCTTTTATCATACTTTTTATTGTTACTTCAAGTTCTCTATGAGAAGTATTCCCAATAATTGGTTTGATCTTTGACACATATCTAGGCGTATATTCTTCTTCATTCTGGTATGCTGAAGATTTGTTAGGAATCGGCTTTGTCCTCCTACTTTTGACACCTTGCCTTCTAGTTTTTATCACTTGTTCCTTTGCTTCATCAGGGTCAATTTCTTCTTTAATAAGTATATCAGGGGAGCTATTTTTGATATTTCATTCCTTTTGGCATCTTTTTCTTGGCAAAATTGGCTGCTGACCTAAAGTGTTAAAATCCTGCTAACTTCATATTTTTCTCATTGCTAATCTTCTTAGTCCCTTTAGAATTATAGTCCTCTTGCTTCTTGATCAGGTCCATCATATTTGCTACGGACTGACTCAAATTATTTTTGCTCTTCAGGGTTCTCCCAGTATTGGTCTTCCGACCAATACCATATGAATTCCCTGTCGCAGACTGGGAATAAATATTTTTATTCCTCGATAGCCCTTCCTGATGGGATTTGTTGATCCCATTGCTGTAGAAGCACCTATAGAGCAATAAACATCAGTAATTTAAGCAAAAACTTACAGTTTTTGCTTAAACTTCTGAAATTTCTGTGAAGGATTCTGCTGAATTTTTTCGTTCTGAAGGTTCTTCAGATTCTTATAATTCTTCAAATTTCTTCTAAAATTTGAAGAATTTCTGGAATTGTTGGAACTCTTGGAAAGCTTGGAAGTCTTCTTACAAGTCTGGCCCTTCTGGCCAGACTTGTTGAGGAAGGAAGGCCTGGTCAAGTCCTGGCTTCCAGTGTCTGGCATGAATTTGAAGGCAGAAGAGGTCTTCTGCAGGGTCTTGCGAGGTTTGATGCCTTTGGGCTGGAAATTTGTGACTTGGGGAATTTGTTTGGGCTTCTTTTCAAGAACAGTCATTGAGGCAATGGGGCGAAGGATGGAAGGAAGTGCATTAGCAAAGTTAGAGACTTTTTGAGATGAGTTGAGAAGTTTGTGTGTCTTTTTGAAATTTTGAGAAAATCTGCCATCTTTGGAAACTGTTTTAAGTTCTTCGCTTGAATTCGAATATTTCAGGGTAATTTTGGAATGAGAATTGGGCTTTCTTATCTTGCTAGCTGATTTTATTTTGTAAGTATCATATAATCGGATATTGTTTTCTGGTCGAGATCATTCTACAGATAAGATTTTTCTTTACCATCACTTTCTTCATCAGGAATTAATTCTCCGGTGACCACTGGAGTAATTCTCATTGCACTTTTCTTATTTTGCAAAGCTTTATTTTCTGAGTTTTCGATATTTCTAAATTTGGCTAAAATCCAGAAATATTTATTCTTAAGAATCTCCAAAATCTTACTTTACTTGACCTGAAACCCCAGGTTTTCCTTGAGACATCTTGTGCATAGAAGAATGCTGGTTTTTTAAACGCCCAGAGCTTGACTTCTTCATGGCTAAATAAAGTGAGATAGAAGTAGCCTACCCTTGGCATGCCCTGCCATAGGCAGGGCCTGGTAAGAGTTTGAATCTCCCATCTTCTTTATTGCTGAAGCGGTCTTCTATGGGATTTAGAGTACACTTACCTTCACTAAGCTCCTGGATTTCTCTGCCTGAGATCTTTCAGAATTTGATAAGTGGCTGGATATCAACTTTAGTTTCGATGTTTTTGACTTTTTGAGCGAGTTTTGCCCACTTCTATCTGGATTTTGGCTGTTGGCTAGGTATTTCTGGTACCCATCTTTTATTGATCTACTAAACGTGTTTGATGAGTTCTTGAATCCTGTTTTAGCTTCTGACCTGGATTTGTCCATATCAAAATTTCTTGATCCTAAAGAGAGGTAATATATAATTTACTGTCTTGAGAAATAGAAATTTTGTTAGTTTTCTTAGATTTTGCCTTCAAACTCGATTCTTTTTTAGTACTATTATGATTTTTCTTCACTATGAAGACAGCCTTCTTGCTATATCTTCACTTGTGATATCTTACCTAGCATTCTCATTTTTCTTGATCATTACATGTGTAGTTTTGATATTTTTACCTGTAAATATTATGTGAAGTCTTACTCTGAGGAGACACTTTAATACTCTTCTGTTTCCTTGGAAAAACATATCCATGATTGATAGTCGATAGCTTATATCTATTTCTGAACCTCCTTCTTGAAGTTCTCTAGCTCTCTGATCACTCTTAATATGGATTTCTTCCTCCTGACTCTTCCTTGGGAAAAGAATCTGAAATTTTGCAAGAATACATACCTTTGCTTCTTTCTTTTAGGAATATCAATTCCGTATGCCCATATGCTTGCAGAAAGCTATTTAGATTTGAGGAATAAGAGAGTTTATGTAAACTTACCTCGTCAGGCTGGTTGAAATTAGGGTCTTTTCGTGAACTCCTGATCTCAGGAGCATGAGATTTCTCCCTCTTTTTAGCAGAAGGATAATCTCTGCTTTCTACTAAAGACTCTGGTCAAATAATAGCCTTTAGAGCTTCTTTATAATCGAGTTCATGCTTGTTCATCTCATCACAATAGCTTTCTTCTATAATAATTTGTGAAGAATGTCTGTTACAGGACTTCAGGGATTCATGCTCCCGCAACATGAGAAATACATCAAAAATTACCTGTTTCATCCTGGTAAAAGCTGTGTTCATAAATAGAGACTTTCTCAGTGGTCTGGCTATACTCCAGGTTTTCCTCCATCTCGTTGGTATGATACTATATCAATAGACATAACTTCTTACGTTGTAGCCCTCATATTCTTTCTGGTAAATATTTGATAACAGCATCTCTCCATTGTTATTGTTGTTCTATAAATCATGCTTAGATCTAGAAAGTTTGTAGATCAATCACAAGAGGATTATCTCACCTAGCCCAGGCTAGTGCCTAGCCTGGGCTAGGTCACAGAGCTAAACCCTGCTGTGCTTGAAACTTACCTCCATATCTAGCTTGATGAATAAATATATAATCAATAAATATCGTTCTTTTAGGGGTTTTGGGGTTTTGGGGTTTTGGGGTTTTGGGG